CCCCTTTTTTTTTTTTTTTTTTTGGCTGACATCATCATGCTGACGTCACCGGTCCGACTGACCGGTCCAATCGTGCAAACCAGGAAACGAATATTTTGGCGAGTCGACTTCCAATCCGATTTTCAGAACATTAATGCTAATAAACCCCTGAATAATCTTACTATTGAAATTTTTTGTATTGTATGAGAAATTGAATGAATTAAGTTAAGGCGTTTAGTAGGAGAATATTCATGTCATAGAGTTTTACTAAATTGATTGATGAGTTGTGCAATTGGCCAAGGGTACATTTTAAATGAATGAATAGTATGATTGAGCATGGGAGATGTTATTCCATATGTTTGCATTCATAGTGATAATGCATATAGCTTATTTAGGTGACTTATGAAAAAATTTATGAAATGTTAAAGAATGAATTCCATGAGTCTCTTGAGGTATAAACCAAGATCAGAGGAATGAAATTCTTATAGAAACCATGAGTCCTTTGAGGTGACAACCAGGAACAAGGTAATGGCTCAAATAAATCCGATCGAATAATAAAGACGAATGAAAACATCAAGTACAAAAACAAAAGAAATAGGCATGCCATGTTTATGAATATTGCATAAGTCATCTCTGTTCTATGTTATTTTATGTATGATTATGTTATGACTTATGTTTATGAGAAAAGTCCAAAATGTATGACATGTTTTATGAACTTGTTAATGTCAATGAATGAAGGTCATGTCTTGTAGGTAGGTAAGGTCCTAAGTAATATACTTGTATAATGAACCTTAATAGTTTATAAATGGCCATTTTCCCTTACTGAGCGATTAGCGCTCACCCTACGAAATATTTTAAAATGTTTTGCAGGTAAGGATTAAGGCATGAAGCTGGGAGAGGATTCCAAGGGACGCTATGAGTATGAAGAGATGTTTTAATTATGACTATTGAATGGTTTTGCTAGTATTTAGTGTAGTAATTATGTTTATATCTCATAATGCAGTAAATATGTCCTTGTTATAATTAGGGATGTATACGAGCCGAGCCGACCCGAGTATCTTGATACTCAAGCTCTGCTCATGATGAACAGTTGCGAGCTCGAGCTCGAGCTCGCGAGTCTAATCGAGCCTAATCGAGCTCAGTACTAAATTATTGTATTTTCTCTTTCTGCCCTCATTTTCTCTTTCTTCTTTTCACACATCAGGCAATCACCTCATTTTGTTTTTTATTTTCTCTTTCTCCCCTCATTTTCTCTTTCTTCTTTTCACCTATCACCTCTTGTCATCTCATCTTTTTTTTTTTTTTCTCTCTCTCTCTTTCTCCCCGTCCTCTTCTCTTTCTCCCTTATTCTCTTCTCTTTTCTTAATTCTTCAGATCTACTCCTTCTCCTTCGTCTTTTTTTTTTTATTTCTCCTCATCCTCTTCTCTTTCTTCTTTACTTCTTCCATATTCTCTTCTCTATTCTCACCTCCTCTTCTCTTTCTTCTTCTGCTCCTTTAGATTTTCTCTTTGATTATTTTTCTTTTGCATTCTAAGCTCAAATGGAACCAAGGATGAATGAAGGTGAAAGAGAAGATGAATGAAGTTGGATTTTTGAAGCCGAAAGAAAAAATCCCAAATGGGTTTTGAGTTTTTGTTTGAGCTTTGAAATAGATTTATCGTTTTTGTCTGTGAATGGGTCATGGGCGTTGTTTGTAATTTTAACAACTTTAAAATAAAACTTTTGAAATTTTGCAAATTGACCCCCAAAGCTTGTTTAAGCTCGCAAGCTCGACGAGCCGAGCTCAGCTTGGATTGAACTCGGCTCGTTACTGTTCACGAGCTGCTCGAGCTCGAGCTCGACTCGACTGGTTTCGAGTCGAACTTGAGCTTACGACGAGCCGAGCTCGAGTAGCTCGCGAGCTACTCGGCTCGTGTCTCATCCCTAGTTATAATGGAATATATATATTTGTGTTAATAAAGAAAATCAAATTGCCAGTAAAAATTGCAAAAGTGTGTATGTTCTAGTAAGTATTACTATGAATTTCATAATTTACTCCAAGAAAGGCAACTATATGATTTGACTTGTACAATGAACTTATTATAGTTTAAAATATATATATATATATATATGTTTTTAAACTATAAGTTTATTCTTTAAATAGGATTTTAAAATAAATTTCTTTCCTAAACGTGCGTTTCCTAGGTTCTCAATGGCCAAGGGATACCTAGGAAATACCCAGCTAGGGAGGGGTTTTACACTAGGACAACGGGATTACATGCTCGTAGTAACTGATTACTTCATGAAGTGGATTGAGGCTGAAACATTCTCCTAAGTTTGAGATCGCAAAGGAAAAAAACTTCATCTAGAAAAACATCATTTGCTAGTTTGGTATGGCAAAAGAGATCATCACCGATAATGGCTCGTAGTTCATTAGCTTCGAATTCCAATACTTTTGCAAAGAATGGGGAATCAAGCTATGTTTTCAACATCGCGCTACCCTTAAGAAAACGATCAAGCTTAGTCTTTCTATAAGACGATCATTAGTACCTTGAAGAAGCAACTCAAAAAAGCTAAAGGAGTGTGAGCAGATGAGCTACCAAGTTAACAGAGTGTGAGCAGATGAGCTACCAGGTGTACTGTGGTCCTATCAAACCACTGCATAGACATCAACTGGCGAAAACCCCTTCTCGCTGGCTTACGGCTCTGAAGTCGTGATCCCAGCTAAAACCAAATTACCAATAGTGAGGTATCAATGGCAGAATGAAGATTCCAATAAACAATAAATCTGCCACAACCTCGACACTATTGACGAGCTCTAAGATCAAGGCCTTCTATGGATGACATCTTACTAGTAAAAGGTTGCTCAACATTACAATAAAAACGTCAAAACGAGAGTCTTCAAATTCAACCACTAGGTACTGTGAGATGCCTTATAGAACACAAACCAAACAGGCGGTTGCAAACTCGGCTCGACCTTGGAAGGCCCCTATAAAATAATCAAGATCATTGGTCAAGGAGTTTACAAACTACAAGCACAAGATAGCCGCGACATCCACAACAATTGGAATACCATCCATCTCAAGCTCTATCACTTTTGAGCTCGTAAAATAATCAACTGCCTCGACACCAATGCTAGGGGACAAGCTGACGTTGGTCCCTACCCATCCATCCCCTCGTTTAGTCAATGCAACATCAACATGTCTCCAGACACAAATTTTAAAAAATTCAAAACGTTATGAGAGAGATTGAGTATATAACTTTAAACTTTCAAATTAATATTTATTTCCCTCATTTGCATGTACAACATAGAAATAAAAGGAGAAAAGGAAAAACTTAATTAATTCTTTTGAGGACTTTCCAACCAACTTTTTGCGCATATCAAAGCATTTCTAATCTCAACATCAAGGCTCTTAGAATAAAAAATATTTTGAAATTCAACCTTCAAGCTAGGAGGATCTGAAATCCCAGTATTAGAAATAGGTATTGCTAAGAAATCACTTGCCATCCTTGCGAGTGTTGGAAAATTTGCAGAGTTGTCGCACCACCAAGCTAGTATATCAAACTCTTCAATGGATGGAAATTTAGGTTCCTTTAAATAGTGATCAAGTTCTTGCTGTGCAGATGTATTTTGTGAAGATGAGCATGGCCTCCCCATGGCATCGAACATTGTAGGACCCTTTGCATATTTAAAGTAAACAGTTTTAACATCATCAGTGATCTCCTTAAAGTGTCTCTTGGCTTCATCATAGCCATAGATATCCTTGTACCAGCATTCTACAATATCTAATTTGAATCGTGGATCAAGAACTATAGCAATTACAAGAGCCAATTCAAAAGTGCTCCAATATTTGTTAAAATATTTTTCTCTTATATACGAAGCTATTTCAGAAACATAAAAATTGTTACCCTTTTCCCATTGAAGCAATTTCATATATAGGAAACAAACCTTTGGGAAGTACACATTTGAAGTGGTGTATTTGCTCTCTGACAAGCTTTCGGCAACATCTTTTAACACTTTCGCACACTCGAATGCCACGATTGCCTCATCCCATTCCTGTTTCGATAAATTTATCGACTCGAAATCAGGATCAATTTGCTCCAGCACACAAAAGGCTTCTTTAAATGCCACTGCTTTCTCAAGCGTTTTAAATCCTTTACTATGCCACGTAAGTGGAACAAGGCTGTGAAAAGTAGTCATTTGGATGCCCATGGATTTAGCTTTGTACAATGCACTTCGAAATTTTTCGTTATTTGACGGTGTCTCAAAGACATACTTAAAAGACTTTTCTATCTTTTTAAGCAAGTTCTCCATCCACTTTGGTCCATTCTCAATACGGAGATTTTCGGTTAACCAACTAATGGGCAGTAATTTTCCACCGAAAGGAAGTGAACTTCGTTCATTAAGCCAGCTGTTTATCTTAGTAAGTTCCCAATCCTCTTCCTCAATAGGTGTAACCATACAGCACATATCCTTGTCGATGCTCAAATCCAAAAGCAAGTCTTTAAGTTTTAAGAAACTCCTATCACGTTTATCATACGAAAAATTAATAACCTTCTTCTTCAATCTCCAACTGTCATCAATAAAGTGGAGTTCCGTCATAATGCTGTCAGATTCGTCAAATGGTTCAATTTTTAAACTAAAACGACGGGGGATGTTCACTAAATATTTGCTGAGTTTTTCTTTCTCTTCTTTGTAAAAATGGATTACCTCGGCCCTTATGGGTTTTAGTGAGGAGAACCCGTATTTAATAATGTCCCGTACCTGATCCAAATGAATCAGTTCTTGACCAATCACTGATTCTCCAACAATTGACTTATCTGCTCCACCCACTGGAATTCTTTTACTTTTGCAGCTTTCTAAATGATTTTTCAGGTGTGTCGTTCCTTTCTTGCTTGAACCATCAAATATTCTCTCACAATATTTACATATTGCCCATTCTTTTCCATCTTCTTTATATTTTGTGAACTCCTTCCAAACCTTTGAACTCAACTTTCTTCGTTTAGGACGTGACAAGTACTCCGAATCTGGATTCTCCATCTCATGAATTGGAGCATTTTGTTCTCTAGTCTGAGAGATTTCCTGTTAACATGCGTGCATGCAAACAAGCCATTGATGAGCAGGTATAAGTAGTCCTACAAAGGAAATTATGAATCTTTGAAAGAAGCACCCCAATCAAGTTAGAATAATTCAAAATATTATAAAATAGATTATTGAAATAGTATTGAATTTATATTAGGTTCAAAACTGTGGAATCCCATTACTTTTTACTACTGGATGTGGCTGACTAAATCCCCCGACGCGCCATGCAAGCGCTGGCACACAGCGGTGGCTGGTGCAGATGCGGGACTGTGTTTCAGCTGCGTTGCTGAAACCACAGCCACATCCAAAACACACAACATGAAACCAGAAAAGTAAAGAGGACTACGATTTACCTTGGTTGTTCTCAATGAAAAAACTACGTCCAACATTCAAATAAAATCATTTTATTAAGTTTCAGAGATATGCAGAATACAATAATGAAAAATATCAGCAACTCACTCTTTTTTCTCTATTTCTTTTTACATTAGGTTTTCTAATACTACATTAAGCTGTTAATAAACCTAATCATATTTGGGCTAAACTATAACAAGCCCAAATATTTATCAAGGAGGAGGACCCTCGAATGCATCAGCATAAACGATAATCGGTTAAAGGCCATGCAAAGTATGAACCACATCCAACATGCTTGATCTTAGGAGATTAAGGGTGGTGTTAGGAATTGGTGTATTCCCCAAACTCCTAATTTTAAGGAGTTGAAGGTTTAGTGTGGAATATTTCCTATTATGACTATAGATTGGATTTCCGCGCTCAAAAGGCAGCCACATTTCACGCTGATGCACAAAGGTTTTGTACCGACGTCTAGACTGGTTTTGGGATTCATTTTCTGTGTGACAAATAACAATGGTAGCCAAACAATTGCCGGCGTCAAATTTCGCGCTGGAGAAGGCCTACAGAATGTAATAGTACTTTTTGACACTGGTTCTGCATCGATGCTGGCCTTAATTCCAGTGATGATAGCACTAATTCAAGTTTTATCGTATAAACTTAAATTCAAACTACTACAAAAGTATGTCACTACTATGTACACATCGAGTAAAGCTACCTGTCCATATTGTGGATGTGTTTCAGCTTCATCATCAATATTATTTGTACCAAATGATATTCTTCCAATAGAATCGGAAATTATCGGTGCTGCTTCTATAGCTGAAAAGGTTCCACTCGGAGAAGACATCCCCAAAGTCCGACTGTAAACAAAATTTGCAACCTACGAAACAAGGTAGGACGCTGAAATAGTCTAAAATTCTTTCTAAATCAACCAGTAATTTACAACCACAAAGTAACGATGCATGATTATATAATTCACCAGGATGTCTTCCATTTGAGGATCTGTTTCATGTGCTGTATGTCTAACAAGAATTCATGGATCAATTTATAATTAAGGGGAAGAGAAATCACAATATAGAGATTTTAGTTGATGACTTATTACCTTAATTATGATCATAAGAGCATCTCCAATTGTATTATTTATTTGAAAGAACATATTTCATATAAATAAAAAGCATTTTCATTAATTTCTAAATATAAAAAATAATTTTTTTATTTAAATTCAATGGACTATTTAAATTTGATGAAGATGCTCTTTATTTTCGAGAAAGAAATTTAATAGGAAAGAGAATTAAAAAATAAAATGCACGAAAACTTGTAGTTTATTAATTAAAATTATGATAGAAAATAAAATTTAACTCTCTAAATGTGGAGAGTCAAACTCAGTCCTTGATTTATATTTAAAAGATAAAGAGTCTGTTGAACTCTTATTTTTATTAATAGACTCTCTATAATAAAGAGTTTGAGTCATATAACGAATCATTTAGAGATGTTTAAAGGTTTAACTGGAAAATATTTTAAGAGCTAGCTTGATGATAGATAGCATACACTTACTTGAAAATGTACTGTCAGGAAATCAAATTGACCTGGAAATACCGTGTCTTCTAAAATTCAACTTTTCCAGAATAGTCGTTGATCCCAAATCCTTTATAATTGTGCTAATTTAGTGTGCAAGCTTTTAAGCTTCTAATGTTCTGTAAACGTATGGTGAATGGAAGAAGGAAAGCAAGTCAACAAGAAGAGACGAGCGCTTAATGCTTTCTTCTCTCTCTCTTTTTGTTATTTATTTTCTTTTTCAATCTTCAACTTGCTTTGAAAAGACAAAAAGTTATATGTGTCGCCTCGAACTATCCGAAGTCCAACTCTACGCTCATTATTGAAAATGACCAAAAGTTGTAATTTACGCCAACTTAATCCAATAAATATAAACTTCTGAATTTAATAGTTGTAATCATCGATTACGAATATCCAGGATACTCTCTTGATTTAATTTTAGAATTAGGATTGTTTACCAATTTGAGTTCTCCTAAGTTTCTCGAGTTTTTAAACATCTCATTATGCATGTATATAATTAAAGCTGGAACAAATGGGCCTAGGTCAGTCAATCTTAACTCGGCCCGCATTAAGCCGAGTTCAACCCGGCCTGTGTATACCTTATCAAGCGAGTTAGGCCTTCATAAGCCAACCTAACGACCCAACAGTTAATATATTTTTAAAAAAAAAAAAAAAACCGTCTAACCTATCGTGTTGAGGGTTTTCAACCCGCCAGATTGACCCGTGGGTTGAACAAAAATAATTAAAAAGATAAATTAGTCTTTTAATTAATAAATACTCATTTTATCCTTGAAATATAGTCATTTTATACCAGTTGGAAGGGTCTTTTTTTCCCCTTTTTTCCTACAAAAAGGGCCTAAACTCTCATATCTCAAATTCTCTCATTTTCTCTATTGAAATCTCTCAAATCTCAATTATTTTCTTTGTTGTCAATTTGCTTTCATTTTAATTTTTATTAGTTTTTGTAATTTTCAATTCATATTTCCAAATTTCAATTCTCCTTGTTTAATTTTTTATTTCTTCTATATCCATTTTTTTTTTCTTTTTTAACTACAATGGATAGATATTTTCATCCCATCAATTTCGGTGATGAAGGAAATTATCCTAATCCCCCTGAATTTACTAACGCAAATGCAATAGATTCAAATAGTTCAGCTTTCCCATTCTTAAAATCTGATGCACCTCGTAATATTCTCCCCTTCCTCCCCCTGTTGCTATAGCTCCCAGTGGTTCTAGAAGTTGTCCTCATAATTGTCATCCTCGTCCAACTCCATCTTAAGCTGAAGCAGGTTCATCAACTGTAGTCGAAACAGATGATAGGCACACATTAGACGTTTGGGTGTATTTCGATAAGTTTTATGAGACAGAAAATGGAGTTCAAATGAAGAAAGCAAGATGCAAGTATTGTGAAAATATTTCCAAAGCTGATGCAGGTAATGGTACTAGTACTTTAAAAAGGCATGCTAATAAACATATTATTCAAGATGGAAATACCAAAACCAATCAAACTCAAATAACTAATATGTGTACTACTTGGCATTATAATTCTAATGTATATAGAATGATTAGCTTTATATATTGTTCTAACTAATTAACCTATTAATATGACTGAAGATAAATATTTTGAAAGATTTATTAAAAATTCATTTTTTTTTCCAGGATTTAAAAGTTATTCTAAAACTGCAACTAGAAATGATTTAATAAAATTGTTTAGGAAAATAAAATTAGAATTAAAAAATAAAATACATAGTTGTCATGTTAGTGTGACTCTAACCGCCAATATTTAGAGTGGCAGAGCTAAACAAGATTATATTTGTGTGACTAGTCATTAGTTTGATAACGAATGTAAATTAAATAAATCTTTATTGGGATTTAGATTAATGGATGTGGATCATAGTGGTCAATAAATTTATAATAAAATTGTTATAGTTTTAGAATATTATGATGTTGTTCACAAAGTGATAAGTTTAACTTTAGATAATGCAAGTGTTAATAGTAGAGCTATAAGTTTAACTTTGGATAATGCAAGTGTTAATAGTAAAGCTATAGATTTTTTTAAAAGTAATTTTCCTTTTTATGACAATTTGAAGTTTTTTCACCAACGCTATGCATGTCATATTATTAATTTAATTGTGAAAAGTGGTATGAAAAAAATTAGAAACAATATTTATAGAATTACGGATTCTTTAGCTTGGATTACTAGTAGTAATAGAAGAAATGCTGAATTCAAGATGTTTGTATAAAATCAAATATGTCTCCTAGAACTTTTGCATTAGACATGCTTATTAGATGGAATAGTACTTATTTAATGCTTGATTCATGTTTACCTTATGCAAATTTAATTAGTTATTTTGTAACAAATAATACAGGTCATCATTATTTGATAGACAGTGATTGGCATATAGCTCAAAAATTTCATTCTTTCTTAAAAAAATTTATCAATCCACTTTACAACTTTTTGGTGTGTATTATCCTACTAGTCCATTGGTAATACATACAATTATAAAAATTTCAAATTTATTTAAAAAAATAGAAACAATGAAATTTTAGCGGGACTAATAGAGGCAATGGAATTAAAATTTAAAAAATATTGGAAACCCATTCATTTTCTTTATTGTTTAGCTGTCATATTTGATCCTAGAATTAAATTAGTACGTTTAGAAAATGGTTTAGTCACATTAAGTGGAAATTTACAAGACAAAGCATATGCCAATTAAATAGGAGAGATAAGAGAGTGTCTTGCAGAGGTATAATTGCAATACGAAGAGGCGAAATACCCGAGGAAGTAGCATCTGAAGAAACAAATGAAGACTTCGACTCCTGGAGTGCACTTAATAGGCCGAAGAGGATCTGAACCTGAACCACAACCTCCTCTTCAGAAGCATCAACAATGAATGTACTGTCCTCCAGATAGCTACAGAGTGATGAGCTTCAAGAATATTTGGGAACCCCCGACATGCTACTAGTAGATCCACAACAAAGAGCCAACTTTGATGTCTTAGAAAATTGAAAAACCATAAAATATATTTTTCTGGTATTATCAAGATTGCCCTAGATGT